TTGATGTAAACACACTTACATGGTGGACCTTGGTTCATGAACTTAATTCATTCCAAATTTCTTGGTTGCACCCAGAATCACAGAACAAATTCTGTGACCAGAATCATGGAAAGAATTAAGTTCATGAGCTGAGACACCACTGTATTGGTTTATGAGGCTGGTAGGAACCAGTATGTCACAGCTTATTTTTCCAGACAGTCAGAACTCAGAAATAACCTCTCTTTTTTTAACATTTCTGCTTTTATTTATGACTTCTCTTTTACCTGTCAAATCTCTGTGAACAGTATTGCATGAGTACCTGTGGATGTTTTTTTTTTCCTTGAACAGACTCCAGCTACATTAAAGAGTTTATACATGGTGACTTTGGGAGAACCAAGCCAAACATCGGCTCTCTGATGAATGTGACCGCAGACATTCTTGAACTAGATGTGGAGGTAAATAATTTTATTGTGGAATGCACATTTGTAAATTGAATTCAGCCAAAGTTATGTCCTGTGGCATTATACTAAATGGTACCACCTATCTTTACAGGTACATATTCAAAAATGGTTAAAGTCTCAGAGTAGTATTGTATTACAGACAGGGAACATCTTCTGAATATTGGTTTTTAAAATGTACAAGATCTCATTAATGATTCTTGTGAGTATATATATAGCTACTTTGCTAGTTATGCTTTACATATGGCATTAGATTAAACCTTTAAAACAAACCAGGAAATAAAATGGTAAGTACCCTCCACATGTACTTTCAGATGCTAGGGGCTCATCCCCATATCTGCTTGGAAACCTGAGGACAAGGGTAGAAAGTGGAATGAGCTAATGGTTACGGATAAAAGTACTGCTGTGAGGACTCCCTAGGATGTGGTCCAGAAGTGGTTTTATACAGGACTCCTCTAATGTGGGTCTCTGCTTTCACAGTCTGAACTGAAGCTAGGTTAAATGCTAAGGCAAGGAGAACTGCTCTTTCAGGCAATTCTGTTTTTTCATTTGGACATCAATAGATGTTGAGTCCCAAGTTATGCTCCTTGAAAATCTGCTTTGGCATAGAGTCCTTCTGTACCCTTCACACACTCCAGAATCTTAGGAGAGGTTAGTGTTTTGTGGTAGGGAATAATATCAAATAAAAAGAAGTATTGTCCAGTATGAAAATAGCATTTATTACCTTTCCAGAAGTTCTCTCACGTACTCTCAGACTGGATTTTATACAGCTCTCGCAGTACAGCAGCGACATCCGTAATGGTTGCAGTCTCCAGTCTGCCCAACTGCACTGACCTTTTTGGACCTTGATGTTTACAAATAGCTTAGAATGTCAGAGTCACAGTCAAGATTTTTCAGTCCTGATCGACCACTGGGATCAACCATGGAGCTGACTGAACACTACAACATGCTTCCCCTAAATTGAACACTACAACATGCTTCCCCATAAATAAAATTTTTAAAATTTAAGTTTATTTAAAGTGAATATTTAAGTGATCAGTAATGTTTAATTTTTCAATTTGAGAAACCACTCATTAACTTGTTTGGCTATATTCTGAAACACTACCAAAATATCTTCTTGAGATTTATAACATTCATGCATACACATACACACCATCACCAACAATAACAGTTATTTGGGCTTTTTCAGTAATTTTTTTGAATCTGGAATTTTCAGTAAATTATTTAAGGTTTTTAACTTTAAGTGTCAATAAAACCATGGATACAATAGGTGTTTTTAAAACTTTTAATGTAGGTTCCCTAGCATAGTTAGGACAAGATGTGTTTTGATGCTTCTTGAATGTGTAGTGTAGGGATAAAATAGTCTACTTTCTGCAGTTTCCAGGTTTTGTTTTAGAACAAAATGGAAGAAGTGAGTAGAAATAAAGAACGGAATTTTAAATGGAACAATAAAAATTCTAGTGTAATTAAAAAGATCCTTAATCTTTTTGTAGTTCTAGGTGATCTTTTGGTTCATATTTAGTTGCTAAGTGACAAAGCAAGTCCACAAGCTTACAGGCTACTTGAGGAGTGATGCATTCAAGTCAGTACAGCAGCATAGACACTGTGGTGCCATAAGGCCGTATCACCTCATGACATGACAGCTGTCCTAGTTTGAGTCTGTATACTCCGTGGTGTTGGCACAATGATGCGGTTACCTAGGGACGCATTTTCTAAGATTGTGCCTCAGCTGTTCAGCAACATCTCACCATGTTCAATGTAAGATGGTGGCATGATCAGAGGAATAAAAGTTGCTGAGACTTCTACGGCTACCTGAATTTGAATATTTGCTACTTTACCCATAAATAAAGTTTTTTAAATTTAAGTTTATTGGGCCAGGGAAATAGCTCAGTAGAATAAGCGATTGCCTGGCAAGTGCAGGGTCCTGAGTTCAATCCCCGGTAAAAAAAATAAATAAATAAAATAAAATAAAAAATTAAGTTTATTGTATTCTGAATCAAAGGAACAATTAACCGAGTAACCCAATATTGCTATTAAAGTTAACTCAGAAACAGAATTTGGGCCCAAGAATACATAGAATGGACTAAAGTGTTGAACTGTGATATTCAATAGCTCTTTTCTTCAAATGTAATTTCTTCTGTTGCTTTATGAACTATTACCAGCAAATGCCTGCCAGAATGACAGTACGTTTTAATGGCTTATTTTCTCCCTTCTAGTCTGTAGATGTTGACTGGCCACCTGCCCTGAATGACTAGCTTTGGTCTCTGGAGACGAGTAGGGTTTTCCTAGCGTGATGTGGACATCCATGCAGCATACCTGTAAAATGGCTGGTTACCCACCATAACAGTGTCTTGGAAACCATTTGGATCATGTTGATCTATTTTTACAATTTGTTGTAACACCTCAGGACCTATCTATCTGTATGTGTGTGTATTTTTTGTTAAACTGTTCTAAGGATGTCTGTGACTTCTCATTCCTGCTTTCACCTTCACAAAAGCTATGAGTAACAAAAACATTCTCCCTCTTTTTTATAGAGAAGTACATAAGCAGGAAACATTTTGTTAAGTGTCCACATGATTTCTCTTCACCTTAGATATACCACCTTTAAATTCATATTCTAAATTTTAGGGCTGGGGAGGTGGCTCAGTGGAATAAGTGCTTGCTTGGCAAGCACAAGGTCCTGAGTTTGATCCCTGGTACTACCAAAAAACAAATTTTAAAAATTTGTGAAAGTTATAATATTTTGAACATCTTATAATAGCTTAAGATATCAAATGCAAATCTGACATTAATATTTTTCCTTATGAGCATCAGGTAAACTATTACCAATGAAAATACTTGTGACTGTGATTTATCACAAATTATGATATCAAATTACTTTTTTAAAAATGTATTTAGTACAGAGTCTACGGGATCTCACTACATAGATTGGACTCGCAGTGATCCTCCTGTTTTCAGCCTCCCAAGGGCTGGGATTACAGGTGCGCACCACCATACCTAATCTCAATCGCTGTGTCATCGTGCCCTAGGGGCGGGGCTGGCCTGGCACACCAGGGATTGAATCCCAGCAGCTACGTTTTGCCTAACCAGGTGCTTTAGTCCACTGAGCTATCTGGCTGGCCCTTCAAATTAATATTTTTGACAGTCTAAAATTACCAGTACATGTTTCTTCTAGAGGGAAAATGAAACTTTAAAAATTGAGGCATAACATGGTAAAAGACTGGCATGAATATTTTAAATAAAGAGAAACAAGTGCCTTCAACAATTTCAATTCCAGATTAACAATTTGAAAAACTGTAGAGCTGGGTGTGATAGTGCATGCCTGTAATCCCAGCACTTGGGAGGCTGAGGCAGGATTGCTTCCAGTTTGAGGCCAGCTTGGGCCTCATAGTGAGTTCAGAGGTAGTCAGAACTATATAGTGAGACCCTGTCTGAAGAAAAATTCTATTTAAGTATAATTTTCAGTATGTAATTCAACTATATGAACTTTTTTTAGGACACATGTGACTTCATAGTATCATTCAATCTCATCTCTATAATAAACATAGTTAATTGGTACAAAGGTTCACTTTAAATATCAGGAAAATGGTTTTAACTGACATGGAAAAAATCGTTCTTGAAACTGTTTATCATATGTGAATAAAAATAAATTGTTTTGCTATTTTCTATGCCAGAAAATGAGAAACGGATAACAAATAAATTTTGATAAAAACATAAGAGGTTCTGTGTGGATGTTTCTTAGTTTCTGGGAATTTTTTACTACAAAAGAGATTTAAGGAATTTAGGTTAAGTCATGCTGAATGGCCTGAACCTGCAATATGAAATAATCAGGAACTTCCTGAGCAAACTTAAACCTCCTAAGTTATGCAAAATTTCAAGCCAAGAGTAAATATTAGCTGTAATTAATCAATCTAGATGTTCATGTCAATTTGAGACACAAGTTGTTAAAATTAATGAGGTTCTTTGTTTAGGCAGAACTAGGTACACTAACAACAGCTTTACATGTTCTCATTTGCCTATATAAAACTTTAAAAATTAGTTTTATGATTTCCTACTTTAAGCTTTTTTAGTCTTTTTAGTAAACTTTAGGAAAAAGTTTTTTTTTTTTTAGAAAAGTTTTTACTCCTAATATTTTAGGGCAAACATCAACTGTAAATATTTGGAGAAGTTGAAATAGAAAGTTTCTATTTCTAGAAATTAAAAAATTTCCAAGATGAACTAGTTACTGGTTAAATGAAGTAGATTTAGAACTCATCTTTGCATTAAGAAAACAAAACATATCATCTCTTCTCCTTTGGAGCATTATTGATTTTTTTTTTTTAATTTTAGGGAAGGGTCTACAGAGTGTTCAGGGTCTCACTACTAGATTGGACTCGTAGTGATCTGCCTGTGATCTGCTTCCCAAGAGCTGAGATTACAGGCATGCGCCACCATGCCCAGTCTCAACTGGTGTCTCAGTGTGCCCCAGGGTCAGGGCCGGCATGACAGGCCGGGGGAATGAAACCCTGGCCCCTGTGTCTGCTTTCAGGTGCTTTAATATTTTTTGGTTTTTAAGTCCACATACAGGAATGAATGTTGATATAGGGCCGGGGAGATGGCTCAGTAGAATAAGCACTTCCCTGGCAAGCGCAAGGGCCTGAGTTCAATCCCAGGTTCCACCAAAAACAAAAACATTGATGTAAACTTTTCTGAATTTTAAAAAAGACCTTTTCTTGAGCAGGGTGGCAGGAGAATCACTGCAAGTTCAAGGTCGGGAGATGTTGCTCAAAGGACACATTTTATGTCACTTAAAATACACACACGTATGAGGGAGGAAGAGAACCTGATCTCAGCCCCTCTGCTCCCACCTCTATCCCTTTCTTCTCCTTGCCCAGCATGTGAGACACGGATGGCAGCCAGCACTGTGGGACGTATACCTCCAAGACTATGGAAACACGTTTCTGTTGTTTAGAAAGCAAGAAGGAAAAGAGAGAATCTTTCCAAAAGGCATTTCAATCTCATTTCCAAGAGTCACAATGCAAGAATATCCAGCAATAGCATTAAATCAGATTAATATTGTAAAAGTCAAATTACAACAAAATTTAACGAGTTTCAGAATTTTTTACATTTATTATGTTACCAAGAAAAATGCTGTATACAAAGATATTACAAAGATAATAAAACATTCTGTACAAGATATTTGAACATTTTAAGAACCACATGTTGATACAAAGCTTAACTTTAAATAATTTAACAATGTTTGAGAACTTTTAAAAATCATTTTCACTACCTTTAATTTTCAGTCATTATGAAGCATATAAAAATCAGGAATCTGTATTCATTGTAGCCCACAGGGTTTTTGTTTTGTTTTTCAGTCTTGAACAAGTCCTGTGCACTGAGTCACAACTGTGCCCTCTTTATTTTTTATTTCAGACAATTTTGCTAAGTTGCTATTTTCCTCCCTCAACCTCCCACACTGCTGGGACTAGGTGTACAGCACCACACTCAACCTAAATGGAGTGCTTACTTTAAAATAATACATTTTTGTTTTGTTAAAAGGGAACATGAGTGTTTTTTTGCATGCATGAAAAAATGTACAGGGGCCGGGGAGATGGCTCAGTAGAATAAGCGTTTGCCTGACAAGCGCAAGGGCCTGAGTTCAATCCCCAGTTCCACCAAAAAAAAAGTATAGATACTACTTTTGAGATTTGATCTTTTCCACTGTTAAACGTGTGCTTTAAATTCTATGTTAAAATATTCATTTGATAGTCTAAAATGACAATCAAACCATAATTTATATCTGATTACCTATTCCTGGGCTTATAATAAGTAGCATGATATTTCCTATATATGTGATATGGAAAAAAATTGTTTCCCTTTCATATGCAACCTCAGAAAGAAATTAGAAATCTTTTTGTGGAAACTTCATTAGAATCAAAGTCCTCACGATTCATAATCAACCTTTTTTTGGTTTTGTTTTTTGGATACAAGGTCTTTCTCTGCAGTTCACACTGGCCTTGAGCTCACTTTATAGCCCAGGCTGGTCTCAAACTCACAACAATCCTCATGCCTTACCTCCCAAGTGCTAGGGATTACACCTGACTCATAATCAGCTCTTGCAGAGATTAGGAGTCACAGAATTTCAAAAGTGAATTAAGTAATTGGCATTATCTTCAATAGGAAATCATTCTGCAAAAAATAAGGCCAAAAGAAGACTCTCCAGATCTGGGCATAACTAGTGGCTTGAAAGAGAAACTTCAGTGCTCTTACTAAAGTGTTAAATCCTTAAGTGATTTTTCCCTGCTGGGTATTAGACATCCAGGGTGTTTGAGTTAGAGATTAATCAGAGTGAAGTAACATGTATAGATGCTGGTTTATTAATTATATTTCAAACTATGCAATTTACAGTGTTTCTTCTTAGATACTGTATGGTACAAAACATACTTTCTGAGGTAGGAAGGGTAGGTATTATCTGCCTAAAAATAGTCCCTATTTTCTTTGTTTCTTCATGCTATTTAACAACATGTAGTAGTCTGTCAATAAATCAATTTATAATACAAAATTACATGCTGTTAGTAGGCAACTTGGTTTACCAATTCTAAGCCTCTCTCAACATGGATAGTTTTCCTGAAGAATTAGGTTAAAAACAGACAACTCTTTCTCTACATAGAGATAATGAGTAGACAGGCCCAGTTTCCAATTTAAAAAGCCACTGTAAAGTAACAGGTTCTGATGATAGAAATCAGAGTAGTGGTCTAGAGGTACAGATTGGGCAGTGGTTTGAGGGAAATGTCCAGGACAGTTACTCCATACATGTAATAACATCACATACATAAAAATTATTAAAGCTCTACGTTTAAAATTGGTCTATTTTCTCCAGTTGACTTCACATGTGTTATCCCTCAGAGGGAAGGGAGTCTTTGAGATTAAGAGTTTAATCCCATTCTCGTGTATCATTTCTTGCTTTGCACATTAGGCATTCAAAAAATGTGACACCTGACTTATACAAATACTGGAGCACTGGGACACTGAAATGCTGTCAAGGAAGTACATCAGGGATGCTTGAGATTAAACCTGCTGCACACAGAGGAGAGTGTGAGCTAGGTCACAGGTATGAAGTAACTAATACTGAGAATTTAGATCTAAAACACATGGCACTACTGTTTTCAGTGGAGCTACTTTCAGTCTTAAAGGGCTGTAGGAGCATTTTTAAAAAGAAAACAAGTGACAGGTCAAAGTAGAGAAGTGTATTTCATAAGACATGGAATCTTGGCAGCATTGTTTAATGCCAGGTTAAGTGCCTTTTCTTTTAAAAAATTGTATCTTTATGTGTAAACACTGTAAATGAGATCCAAA